AAAATGCGTTTCTCGCAACGCGACTGAATGTCTTACGACATGTGCAAGATGCAATGGCTGATAGTCAAGATAAACAAAAGGAATATGCAGATGCGAAAGGCAGAGGTTGTATTAATGATTATGAGGTCGGAGACCAATTATTATTAAATGCTAAAAATCTACCTACCAATGTAGTATCCGCTGTCTTTAAGACGAAGTTGCGCCCACGATTTATCGGACCCTTTAAGGTCATTGCCAAGAAAGGCACAGCGTATACGCTTAACTTGCCGCGCAAATTGCGTACACATCCCGTGTTCTATGTCGCCATGTTGAAACCTTATCGGGATCCGTCCCAAGTAAACATTAAGGCGCTCGCGCCGAGCCCATTGGCATTGTCGCGGGACGAAGCATCTGCGCCAACATGTCAAGCTGACCCTGCATTCGGGTCCGACTCTCTTCCAGGGACGCAAGCCGGGAGTTCATCGTCTGCCTCTCCTCACGAAGGGACCGTACCTCCTGAACAAGCTCCGCATGAGCTTGTGCCGATACACCGGCCTCCTCCTCCTTTGCTCGATGCTCAGGGGAACCTGCAGTTCCATGTGGAACGTCTACTGCAGAAGCGTCGCCGCCATGGTCAAAACCAGTATCTGGTGAAATGGCGGGGTTATCCCGAATCATGGAATTCATGGGAGTTTGAGACTCCCCTTCGGCAGGACTGCCCATACGCCGTGGACGTTTTTGAGCGTCGTGCGCAGGGTCTGCCTGTTGGCGCTGACGCTTCTCACCAGTAATGGTGAGGGTAGGCGGGTTAGCGGCCTCGGGCTGTCGTGAACTCGCGGCTACAGGGGTAGCCAAAACATTGGGCTGCTGGGCAGCAGGCGCATAATGCGTTCGTTGGGATTTCAATTTTCCCCGGGCCTTCAATTTAGCGTAATCATAACGCATCTTCCGCTCAAGTCGGATATCTGCCACATCGGCGCTTGCCCGTAGGGACCACATGCTGCTTAAACGTCGCGCATAATGCGCCCAGCGGCTGAAAGCCGTGTCTTCTTCGTCCTCGGTTTCCCCCGCGAACAGAAGGATGGGAACACCCTTCATCGGAGGAACTGGCGCACCGCGCACTTGCCTATTAAGGCGTGCCAAGTATTGGCTTTGAGTAGTGATATGGGGCTCCAGATATCGTTGTCGAAGTGCCGTGCGTGTGGCAACATCTTCAGGCGAAATGGCCTCAGGACCAATGGTCCAACCAGAAAGGGAATGCCCAGATGCTTCCTTTAGGCGTTCTTCCACCGTAGGTGGCTTGAACCTGTACTGTCGGTGATCCTTCAGCCGCGTCATGTTCTTCGTTCGGCGCTTGGCGCCTTCCTCTTGGTCGATGGACCGCTGTTGCTGCTCGTCGAGTGGATTGGTAACCGTTACCGTTGATGATACCTCAGGCGGGTCACGTAACGCTGTTAGCGCATCTGCTGCACCACGTTCAGGGAACGGATTCGGTGCATGACGAGTGTCATCTTCACCCGTGAGGGTGGCTAAAGGGGACCCATCGGGTCCCACAAAGACGGTGTCACTTTCGTAATCAACCGCTTCTTCAAGGTCGTCCCCAATGAGGTCCCTAAGAGTCTGTGACTCGCTGCCGGGAGGCGTCATGTTGTGTGCCATGAACAAACCGTGAGGTTTTAAGCGTTCGCTAAAGCACTACCTCTAAGAGGAAAAATGTCGAGTGACATTCTATGGGAACGTCAGTCTGGTGGGGGAGGGTGTAACGGGGTTACACGACGCTTGTAACATCATTCCAAAAGTTTACGGTTGAAGTTTCCTTTTATTGCATATAATGCATTAGGATTGTTCTCTTTAGAGAGGTATTAAGTATAAGCGTTAAAGATACGGTATTCGGTAATACCGTATCCTATCGGATAGGATTCGATAATCGATAACGCTGTACTAAGTACATCATACACAGATGTTTAGACGATACGTCGTCCAATAGCAAAGTCTGCATATAATAACTACTATTATAGTAATTAATCTAGTGAGGGTACTTAGAGTGGGACTATTCATAAAATCTTAAAGCATAAATAAAATCAGTTCTCCTTTTGAGTTTAAGATCACAAGTCGTTCTGACTTGTTCTCTTGTGCACTTCGTGCGTTGGTTCTCTGAACCTCTAAGCTTCTAGCTTGTTCTTGCACCCTGTGCGTTGGTTCTCTGAACCTTAAGCTTATTGCTTGACTGACTAAAGTCTCTCTCCTAGTTCCTTAGAACAGGGTTACTTTCAGTCGTTTAATTAGTTCCTTAGAACTAAGTGGCTTTTAGCCTTAACTATATTTACTTCTATAGAACTAAGAGGCTTCCAGCCGAAAGTCTTCCTCTGGCTAAAGAGCTGTGCAGCTCCGCTACAAATGCAGTCTCTTTTTGGAATTACTAAAGACTGTTAGCTGCCGAATTTTAACATGAGACAAAAAGCGATATGATTTCGGGTTTTGAGTGCTGATAGAACGCATACCCTGTCAAGGTTGGGACGAACAGGTGTGCAAATATTGTGGTTTTGTATGCTGTTGCAACTGAGCCACGTCGGCATGATTTGAAGCCCACTACTACCATTGAAACGTATCGAATTTTCACTCTTCTTTTTCTAGTTCTCCGGCCATTTTTACAGCAGAATGTATCGCTTACTCTGTTTAGCCTACGTTTGCCAAAAGAGACGGACAGCACGTCTAGCGATGTCGCAACCACTAGGCTTCAACATTACACCTGTGCTAGTGGACTTTCCTGAATCCTTCTCGGCCATCAATATTGACGAGTCTGCTCTGTGAACTCTATGGCAAAACAGCGACAAGACAAGACAACATTGATGGAGTCGTAGACTTTGTATGAATTTCTTTCTTGTCGCTGTTTTGGTGATGTCGAGTTGACGGTACCATCGCGAACATCCTATAATAATACTCGTTGCTGCGAAGGTTTGATACAAGTCATTTGAGCAGGCATTATGTCTCTCACATGAAGACATATTTGGTTATAGTTGAAGACATCACGACCGAGTCTATGTTGGTGATCAGCTAATGCGGTCCGACACCATAAGCTATGCGACAGCCACTATTGCCTCCTAGTACTATACCTTGGTAAATCTCTCATCTACCTGCGATGCCTCTCGTATAAAGATAAAAGGCCTTTCTTACGACAATATAACAACGAAAATTGGCTTCTTGCGCTTAGTATAGCCGCGTCTTTTATCAACGATCGACAATTCTGCAGGTGGCTGGCTCTTTACTACTTCTTCAAGGTTGTGAAGGGGAATGACTCAATCCTATTCGTTGATTAGTGCTCATTTCACTTTCATCCACAAGTGCACAAGCTCTACCAGATGCGTCTCTATTGCACCGTACTGCTTGCTACGGCAGTCGCCATCGTCAGCACCAACGCTGTAATTGATGGCGATGGCGAAGAAAGGGGTTTAAATTTGGGGAAGTTGTTGGGAGGGGCTTCATCGAGCACAAAAAATTTAATTGCGGATGACACCTTGTCCATTGAAGAGGCTTCATCGAGCACAAAGAATTCAATTGCGGATGACACCTTGTCTATTGAAGAGGCTTCATCGAGCATACATAATTTTGTTGCGGTTGACACTTTCCCATTTAGAGAGGATTTTGTGGAATATCTAAAGGAGCATAATGGTTTGGCTAAAATGGTACAAGACGATAAAAAAATCGAGAAACTGAAAGAGATAGCAGATATTGATACGGATGGAAAATTCATTGCTTACCTACTCCAATTTTACGAAACACACGAAAACTTAATAATGGAAATCAACAAAATGGGGGGGGCAACATATAAGGCTTATCGGCATATGTTTTTCCGCTATTTGAGTAAGGAACGTTTCTCATATGGTTATGTCAAGACGATCACTGATGAAGAAGGGGCCGAAGCATATCTTCCATATCTTCTATATCATGATTATCCAGGCGATCTAAGGAAGTGAAGACTCAACGATAAAGACCAAGATGAGAAGATTTCTCGTTTTTTTGAAGAAAATTGTAAAAAGGGATGTAGCTAATTACGTTTTCACAGATCTAATAGTCACTCACCTTTAAAGATTTGAGGCCCTGCATTAATATTTTTAGTGAGTAATGTGATTCTTTTCTTATAGACCAATCGGCATATTAAGATCTCTCTAGCGGTGATTAGAATGAATAGAAGGTCTGCTCGAAACACCTCTTTTTTGTTTCGGTTCTCTAACATTAGAATTCTCTCGTGCTCAATCTCTTCGTACACCGCAGTCTCTTTTAACGGTAAAGATGGCGATGAGGAGAACGACAACGAGCGCGAATACAGATTGCGAGCACACGTTATGTAGAAGAATCTAGCGTTATAAACACGAAAAAAGTACATAATAACTGCTATAAAAAAATGTTTAGCATGTATCAGAATTCGTAACTTTGTAGGACGCTCTTCTCGACTATGGCATCCCCAAAGTCTAATCAGCATATCAGCTGCTCTCGATCTTAAATTTTGTGTCTCTCGTTCGTGGCATCACATGCTTTGTGATACACAAAACTGATCGAGCTTTCACAGCCAAAGTCTAGTGTGAAGGCAAGAAGATCGCTGTATATGTCCAAAGTTGGTGGAAAATTGTTCATACACTCTCATTGCTCACTGGATATCGTTGCCCATTTTTTCTACCATCACATCACCTTCCTATTTGTCAAGGTGACCAACCCGTCCTTTCAAGAAGTAACGCTTTCTGCCAAGTCCTGCAGCGACAAAGCCAAAGGATTACTGATTCAGCATTAAGCAGTATCGACACGCAGTGATCTGCAAAGCAAGACGCAGCCGAAATATATCTGCTCACCGTCTGCACCTGGCAAGTACATGACCTGCCGTGGGCCAAGTTTAAGCGCTGGCACCTCTTGGTAGCAAGTTTTGTTGATGCCACATTGCATCGGTGCGATCTCCTCATGGTTGATGCGATTCATCGTCGGTCTCTTTATTAGCTACGGGCTATTTTGCAGCTTTAGAAAAACGACACATGCTACGCTTCGCCCGTGTCGGCCCTGCAGAAGTGGTTTCCAATACCGCGGAGCTATTTTGGCTTTGCTGGGAGTGCTTTGGTGTTGGGTCGGTCGTGTGGGCCAAGGCGTACCTCCCTATCATCGCTTTGACTAGCGTGCCCGACCTGCCCATCGTCATTGGATGTGTCATGAGAATCAAATTATGTACAGCTGCGCAACTCGCACTCTTTGGGTGGACTAAATATACATGGTGAAATCGTTCACAAGACGCAGGAGTGTGGCGAGAACGTGAGTATTAGGTCTTCGCGCGGGTACGAGTCAGTCGCGAACCTGGCCGTTCGCGAGGAGAAGGACCCGAGCGCAAACGACAGTAAGGCCCAGGTGAAGAAAATGACTCTCATTCAGTCAATGACGTCGTTGACTTCGTTTTTATGTGTATCATGTTCTTTGGCAACCAGCTCTACAGGCTCATCGTGCTGTCCAAGATCTCCGCTACGTTCACCACGCTCTTCGACAAGACGGCCGCCCTAAACATCTACTGCGTGTACAAAACATCTACATCGTACATTAACGGTCTATTCAGCTTTGTTGGGCAACTAGTAATCAAACGCGTATTCAACGTTGAACATGCATTCGTGCGTAAATGCCTCTTTCTCTACGGAGTGGTCTCACAGATCGTTATCATTGCTATCATACGCTAATCCGAAATGAGAGCTACACAGTCTTAACGGTCCTCGTATTCCAGTTGACGTTGTCGTATGGTGGCGGTTTAGGCACGATCCCGTGCTTCCTGACAGACATGTTCGATGTCTTTTCCGATCTTGTGAGCGTGGTCGCTTGGTGGCGTGGTGGGCGGACTGATCTTAAGCCAAGTACACTGCGGCTATTAAGAACGGTGCCACACCCGAGGACGCGTACATCGACAGCATCTACAAGATTCTGATTGTGGTGTGTGTCACAGGTAGCTTCGTTTTTATGGTGCGCACGAACCCACGCGACCGATTCGAAAAGGGATACCACCACAATCTGTTGGCAAGCGTGTGATCAGTATCAAGCCCAAGAATACGACCGCGAATCAAAATGGCTCAATGCAAAACGAGGTCTAAGATGACATGTTCATCTATTGTGAATAGCTAGCTCTCATTACTAAATTAATCAATTGGGGGCATTCTAAAGCTGCTAGCTAAAGTTATAATAACTGGGTGGCGTTGGACGTATGTCAGAGACAACAGATTGGCGCAGCAGCAAGCTACAGAAGAAGCACAGGATGCAGACAATGCTGTACTGTTCGAGCAGGCACTACCGCGAATCAAATTGGCTCAATGCAAAACGAGGTCTAAGATGACATGTTCATCTATTGTGAATAGCTAGCTCTCATTACTAAATTAATCAATTGGGGGCATTCTAAAGCTGCTAGCTAAAGTTATAATAACTGGGTGGCGTTGGACGTATGTCAGAGACAACAGATTGGCGCAGCAGCAAGCTACAGAAGAAGCACAGGATGCAGACAATGCTGTACTGTTCGAGCAGGCACTACGCGGCCAATAGCGTCTGCAGAGGACCCAGACTAAGACCGGGTACTTGCAGTTACTTAAGGGCGACTTAAAAACTTAAGCCTTGCATCATCCACCGTCTGCTTCTTTCTTCTCTTCATGACGACAAAACAAGCGCAGCGCCGACAGCAATTTCTTTTGCCGATGATAGCGCCTATGAATCACATTGTTCGTTTTTACAAAGTTCACACCATTGCCTTTTCCTCAGAGTTTTGCCAATCATGTCTTGCAGACGAAAGTGAGCTTCATGAGCATCTTCCTTGGACTCAAAACTTGCTTCGGAAGTATGTTAGCGTAATTATTATTAAACGCGAGTACACCTCGTGCGAAATCAGAGCAAGGTTTGTCTTCTTTATCGAACTAAACTCATGCAAAACAACAAGCCACACTCTTCGTTTGCACTCAATAGTCTTGTTCTGTAAATCAGTCAGCTTTTTGTCTAAAGTATTTATTTCTTGTCGACATCTTTATCAGCGTTGTCACGCTTACCTTGTCGTTTCAAATTGCATTTCTTAACAACCTCTTCGGCCAATCGTGCAGCCATATCGAAGCATCGTCGAGTAAACTCGATTACTTGAGCAATATACATACTGGCATACTCTTCGATGGAAGCTTGGCTACTAAGCGTAGCATCGTTGCCTACCGTTTCATCGTTACCACCCTTCAGCTTCGAGGCCTTGCAACCCACATTGTTTTCATCGACACTTTTACCTTGACACTCTTTCATTTTCTTGAACAAGCTCCACTCCAAAACGACATTTCGGAATGAAAACACGTCAAGATTACTTTGAACTTGTACTTCCCGTGAACACTCGGGGCCCATGGCAAGTATCTGGTTGTAAACCACTGAAACGCTCAAACTCTGAGCTTCCGTTTGAGCTCAGCAGCAAGCGCATCTATAGCAGCGTGATATAATTCCTTCATTGTCTTTCCCAAGCGCCCCCAGGAGTCAACTCGATAGAGATGATAGTACAAGACATCTTTCATCAAGAACTGCACTCGCTCTCAAACATGCTGCTCCAATTCCATTAGCTCCACCTGGTTCCCTCGCCGTTTTGCTCGCCCAAGAACGTAGTTTGCACCCATCAAATACCACAAATGACCCAGGCAAACTTTATTAGGTGATTCTGTCGTCGTGTCATTAGCATCAAATTGCAACGGCAATGCAACTCTTTCCTGCAGTTGGAGCCAAGTACGCTTTGGATAAAGAAGAAACAGCAGCCGATTGTACAGAGAGAGCAGAAATACTGGAGTCTGACAGAGCATCGCAGACTGCGTAAAAAAACTGGAGACGTCCTTTCTTTTGGCGATTGTTTTTCGCCTATGTGGCCAAAAGTATATCGTCATGGCAAAGCATTTCGACCGCATTGCATCCTCATGTCTAGTAGATAGTTTATTATCTTGGAATGAAGCAAAGGTGGTCCCTGTTTTGTATTCTTGGCATCCCGGCATAATTTTGCACGTCGTATAAACAGCGATAGCATTGGCAAGCCTATCTCTGAAGAGGAACTTACCTTCTTTCACACCCTCTTCCTTATCAGCTTCTTCATAACTCTTCGCACCCGCGTGACATGGCTACTCACTCTATGGCGAAGCGTCGGCATTATGGGACTTTTTGCCTTGCCCTTCTATACAATTTTCTAGCACTCGTATACGGGCCGGTTGAATTGGGGTCATTGATTGCGTACTCGACTAAGGTTCACCAATATCATAATTGGCTCATCGACCGAGATGGTACATCGATATCACAATTCGACACTGGTATGGCGGGTGGGGTGGCTACAGTCTCATCTATGGCTGCTTGCGATACCGCCGCGGGTCTGGACAGTGGAACATCTTTGCACTTTGGTGCGCATCCAACGCTTACGCGTGTTGTACACCTATGGGCTGGTCGTCGACGATGGAGGCCGCAACGACAAAAACTCAAACAGATCGTTTTCCGCAAGCGAAGGGATGAAGGCAAACGTATTTGCGACGACCGAGTGGAGAAGCAGGACTTCCAAGTTATTGCATCAGGTACATCTCTGATCGAGTGGAGAGACATCCGCAAAATACGGATTTCCTTCCAGACCAACGCGCAGACGCTGCATCGTTTATAAAGTAACAGCTTTCCGCTCTGGAACTGGGCTAGCCAAGATCTATCTTACCCCTATTCAGCGTGTTCAACATCCTTACCGGCCATGGCTAGTCATATATTTTGGAATTGCCCTAGTGCCCGGCGCCATTGGGATTATCTACTTGAACGATGGCGAAAGCTAGGCGATTAAAAAGAAGGCGGACCTTCACTTCTGGGTGTTTCGCATGGACCTTCCGAGTATTTCGAGTTCTGCATGGGATGCCATAAAAAACGCTATCGATTTCGGCGTAAATTTGTTTCGAGCGAAGGACGCGGTTTTTACAGAAGCACGTGAGCTCTGGCGTTTTCTCATTCAACGACACTACATTCCATCTGGACTGAGCGTCTCCGCCGCTTGGAAGACTCACTTTGTCACAAGAAGTACTCAACGCACGAGCCAGAACACAATTTCGACGAGCGATTACTCGGTTTCGAAGTTCAACATACCAGCCGGACATGGAGGTAGACGGACTTCTATTTGCACAAGTTCTGTCGGCGCTTGCTGATACCCTCATCGGCTTTGACAATCCACCTCCCTTGCGATCGCTACAGCGTGAAAAATTTATCTGGGATTTTCTACCTGCTTTTCTTCGACGGGGGGTCGAGAGGAAATCCTGGACCGGGCGGAGCAGGATCCGTCATTGTCCAACTTCACATTCAGACGCACGCAGCATGCGTCATGTGGGTATCGAGCATGGCCTACGGTTCTGCAAATACCACTAACAATGTAGCTGAATACTGGGGGCTCGTTCACGGGCTTCGACAAGCGAAGGCTAGCGGCTACTCACCTCTGCATGTCGTGGCGCTCGTGCTTTCGCAACTACGGACGCACCATCCTCCACGCAAGCCACACCTGGCGCTGCTATTCCGAGAGGCAAGATCAATTGCTGACAATATCGGTGTCTCCAGCTGGGGACATCACTATCGCTCAAATAACAAAATGGCGGATCGAATGGCGAATATCGCCATGGACACTGGAGCCTCTATACAAGTGCACGCTTCTGCAGGGGAAGGTATTGTCATGGAGGCTTCGGCATTCCTGGACCATGATGTCAACCACTGGATGGAGGTCTCTCAAGCCGAACACCACGAATCCCAGGGACACGCGATGACGCCACGGAACCTAATCATCTCGAGACAAGACTTTGCGCGACGGCGCTCGGCTGTCCGCGGACTAGTTGTACCTAGTACTTAACTTTGAGTCGGGCACGGTAACTCTATTACCTGTCGACAGGATATAATGGGTCGTACGCGTACTCAAATACACCTCACCTTCTCTCTCTCTAACTCTCCGCACCCGTTTTCTTTGAAAAGATTATCTTCAACCCAAATGCTTGCCTTTTTCTAATACTTGCTATAACACCGTACTTGCTTTTAAAAAAAGAAGATCTTGCGTGATCCGGTAGCAGAACCAGTGTCAGAAAAGTACGTCAAACTGCAGATAGCATGTTTCCCAAGTCTGTGGTGAAGAAGATTTCTCAACTCGATCAAATGAGTCGGCAGTGTACTCGGGTCCGGTAGAGAACTACTTGCATGCAACTTCTAGAATAAGACGATCCTCATTGCCAAATAGCTGTCATGGTGTCTTGCCATCACACTGCGCTACAATCTCTTCTTCCTCTTGCATCAAGATGCTGCACAATGCCATTAGAGCAGACCGTTTCGGCAGCGAGTATGACAGAGCAGTGTCGCCGTGGTCGCAGAAGTCTCGATCGATCACGACGAATACGTTTTATTTAAGCTGCATGAGGCATTTATGTCGACAACTTCGGTACTCCTCACCAGGCAGGGATCGAATAACGTATAATAGTCGAGCCATGGTATCAAACTCGACCATTCACTGCGAGCTGTCACCACCATCACATAATTCAGGGGTGCCTTTGTTATCAGCTTCCAACACAACACGTATCATCGATAGAACATTGTTTGGAGAATTAAAGCAAAGCATATAAATGGCTGTAAGCATTCCACGCACAAACCCCGCAGTATCAACCTGTGGTCAGGGTTTGTAAAATGTTCCGACTGTTTTTCGTGAGCCGGGCTGGCAAAAAATTTCAATGCGGCAAAAGCATTTGAGTGTTGTCTGGAAGTAAGGTTATTCTTTACAGCCAAGCCACCAAGATAATCAATTATACAGTAAAGAGCCGTTAACAAGAAAAAGGTCGTGTCTTCGTCCGACTTTTTTTTAACTCTGTCCAAGTGAATGTAGCACCATTTCAAAGAACCTAGTGCTTTTACCACACACCGAGTGTTCAACCTCGTCAACTTTACTCTCGTTCAGAAAGTCTGTCATCCGTAGCACTTGCTTACAGGGGAAGAAGCGCCCAACAAAACCGACGCAACATGATCGAGGTCTTCCCCAGATTTAAATTTCGAGCTTTAGCACACACGTCGGAATAGCGTAATCCTGATATTTTTCATCCAAGATTCTTAATGTAATTTTACTATCAGCTTTTTGGTTCCTTAAATCAACTTAAAAGGTGCAATTGTTGCTTTGGTCATCTGCATTTAGTGAAGTAGTATTGAGCCATCTGAGGTTCCCTACATCGTTTATACATGCACACCATGAGCCAAAACAATCGTAGGAATTCATCTTCTATTAAACGACATGAAGCATCCTTAGAGTCCTCTAGCCAGCCAAACGAAAACAAAAGGTTTTGGGCCTCAGCTAACTGATCTCCACTAGTCTTCTTATCTTACAACGCCGGACTGGCTACTGCAGAATCACATCAAAATGAAGCTCCAGCAGGAATAGCTGAGAACCAGCGATAATATATTCCCCGTAAAGCGGCTACCATGAATAAGGGAGTATTTCGCTAAAAATAATGACGCAGCGTTGCGGAATTGTCACTCCTTTAGTAGCATCCAGGTCTCCGCTACATGTTTTTCCAGCTGTAACAGGGCATCTAGTTACACGTAAACATTAAGTAATATACTTAATGTTTGGTCTAAAAGTATCCATGATTACTTTTGACCTGTCACTTGGGTGCGATACACAAATATGATCCACCCTCGTGAATGTGATATCCATTGATGGATTCACATAAGAAGGGATGAAGCTAGTTGAAGCTAGGCATCACGACGTCTCAGAAGGACGTCAGTTGCGATCTTAAATCTAGATTTAAGATCATGCGACAGGATACGCTTCTAAAGAGTCGCGTATCCGATATATATATATAACCAATCAGTAGTTAAGTATATATTTAGTTATAATTCATTAAATATAGCTGAGTCTTGAATTTGCTAAACACCGAAGCACCACGCACGAGAAGCTGAAAAGCTTCTACGTGGCGTCGGTGTTCTAAGTATTTAGAAATTCGTTGCACTCTCGCTTAAGCGAGAGGCAACTGGTGGTACGACTGCTTAAGCAGTCGACCAACCTCCCAACCACCCTCGCACGCGAAGGTAAGACGGTCTAACCGCTTCCTCGCTTGTGCTGAAGGTGTGTGCAAGTAGCACGAGGCAACTTCGTAGAAGTGCCCGTCTAAACTTGGTAGCACTAGTTATCTTTCCCACGACCCGTCTCTCTGAGCGTGCGTGTGGTTAAGATGGTCCTTAATATGGACTGGAGTGACTTCCCTCACCTCTCCCAACATCATAGGGAGCTGGCAGAGCATATGGCGCAGGGACTTGGTGAACAAGCCCTGGTCAATCTCTTGCATTGTCCTCCTGAGCAACATGTTGCTCAGTTGGAGCAATTCGAGGCTTTTGTGCTCGGACAGCGTAGAAACGCGTCCGAGGTAAACAGCCAAGCCACCGATGAGTCCATCACTAAGACTCAGGATGAGCTTAGGCTTGAGCAAGCACGTAATGAGGCGCTCAACAGAACTGTTGAGACGCTCTCTGCCCGGCCTGTTCAACCGAGGACCGTTCGGATGGACCCTCCGAAATTCGATGGGACTAGCCCTCACACAAATGTTCACCGGCTATTAGCAGTTGAGCAATGTGGAGTGGCACAACTCATCGAAGACGACACCAGAATGGTGTCGTATGCCATGTCCAATTTGCGTGGCAAAGCGTCAGAGTGGGCATACTCTGCGCTGATGGCAAATGCTGATGCATTTCCATCATGGGCGATCTCTAAACAAAGATTCGCGCCATGTATCAGCCGCATAACAACGAAGTGTTGCTTATGGCGCGCTTCTTTGAAGCACGACAGGCGAAACTCTCTCTGCAAGAATTTGTGCAGGAGATGCGTTCGCTGTCGGCGTCCATTAATGGGGAACCGATACCAGAGCGTATCAAGGTAGCCACGTTCATTACGGACTACGGCACGGCCCATCGCGTCAGGCACTTTTTAAAAAAATGCCAGCGACGATGGAAGAGGCAATTCATATTGTCTTAGTTGAGGAGCAATCCTACAACAGCGCCTCGGCGACAGCCTATTACAGGCCGTCGTCCGAGTAGTTTGATGCCACTCCTATGGAATTAGGCAATGCAGATGTGATCTGCTACAAGTGCGGCAAGCGAGGCCATATGATGGCTCGCTGCTATGCCAAAGTAGCTGCTGGTGCTAAGGCAGCCAGCAAAAGGTCTCCCAACCCGAAGGGAGGTGCGAAGAACCAGCGTGCACGACGCACGGGTTCAGCACCTGCCCAAGATGGGTCGGGAAATGCGGGAGCGCAGTAGGGGCGGTATGCCCTACTGTGGCGGACTCTGAAGCTACCCCTAAGTTCAGAGTGATCGAACAAATGGGTAGCATAGTCCCTGAGGTTCCGAAAGGTCGTACCTCAATCCTTTTGGTCTATAGCGCTCGAGTACGAGGCTATGACCAAGTGATGACCCTTCTCGTGGATTTGGGTGCATCACAAAACTTTGTGAAACTCGCGGCTCTGAAAAAGAGACCGGCGAGTTATGAGTCGCTTTGCCAGGATGGCAAGCGAGAAGAGGCGATCGTTCGTTTAGCGAACGGCGCGCTCGTTCAATCGGAAAAAGTTTCAAGTTGAACTCGCCTTCAGTTTCAGTGACTTCTCCTGTAAAGAGAAGTTCACAGTGCTAGGTATGGAGAGTCCGTATGACCTCATCCTAGGCATGCCTTGGTTGGCTAAACACCAACAATGGATAGACTGGTGTACACGCACAGTCGCTATCTCTACGCAAGACACCGGAAAGGATGTGCTTTTGCGAGAGGCTTATGTGGCTGATGCTGTGTCCAACACAGTCGAGGGGGCGATGACGGTATGTCAATCGACACCAGGAACTACCCAGCTCGAAAGGAGTGGTGTAGTTGGGAGTGCACTGGAGGAAAGCCAGGTGACACATATTCCTACCCAGGTCGAAAGACTGGTGTAGTGAATGGGGCGATGACAGATAGTCATGCGTACAATGGTCCTGCACAGAGCCGAGAGCCTGTGGCAGTTGATGGTGGGCTGACAGCAAGTCAAGTGCCACAAGAACCGGCACAGAGCCAAGAGCCTGGTGCGGTTGGAAGAAGTGCGTTAGCTGAGATAGCAACGACACCTTCTTCCAGGTCAAAGGTCGTGGTGACTCGAAGAACGAGCACCAGACGTATAAAGACGATCAAGGGCACGTGGAAACGAGGGACCTTTGGATCAGTCTCGGTTCAAGAGGACGGACCTACGAACGTGTTGTTCGAGGCCGTCGAAGACAAAATGCCGGAGGCATCCTCAGTTGAGGTGCTCCAACTTGTCTTGGCATCTGCCGAGGAGATAGTAAATCTCTCGGAGATGACGTGGGATCTGTTCCTGTCCGAACTAAAGGAAGGAAAGATCCACGAGATAGTCGCACCAGTTCCAGAAGAGAACGTGGTGGACTGTTGCTCTTCATCCACAATGGATGAGAGCGTCTTGGAGACCGACAAAAAGAAACGGTTCGCTGCTCAAGGCTGGGATGCCTTGAAGGACAGCCCGTTCTATGATGTTCTGTGGAAACATCGTGATGTGTTTCCAGCAGAAGTGCCGAGCCGCCTACCGGCCGATAGGGGCATCAGGCACGAAATTGACCTGGAGCCTGGCACCAAGTATTGTGTGACCAGGCAATGGCCGTTGCCGAAGGAACAAGTCGATTACATCGATGAGTTCTTCGACAAGCGAGCCAAGGCGGGACATGTACGTGAGAGCAAGTCGCCTCACTGCAGCCCGACCTTCTGTGTGCGAAAAGCCACGGGTGGATGGCGCGTGGTTCATGCTTATAATAAGCTGAACACGGCCACCATCCTGGCTCAAACGCCGATCC